CCCCAAAACCCCAAAACCCCAAAACCCCAAAACCCCAACTTTTCCCAAAACATTGAAATGAATAAAATCTGATAAATACTGATTTGGTTATCTTCTTGCTCCAGCTTTCATCTTTCTGGATCTTGTGGCTCTTGCATTTGCTCTAGTTACCCTCTTTTTTGATAGTTTTTTGACTTCCTCAGTTTTCTTAACTGATTTCTTTAGATCCTTCTTAGACTTCGACTTAGATCCTGACTTTGAGGTCTTTTTAGGAGGAGACGCTTTACTTCTCTGCTTTGTAGTTTTAGGATTTGGTGACTTCCCCTTGTTGGCTTCTATAATTTATGTAAATTTGCTATCAGAATTTCTCAAAAATAGGTTTGCTTTGCTTAACCTTTTATGAGAAAATAGTCTTTAGCACCTATGGAAACATACAGATCTATTTTCTACAAAACGGATCGTTTAAACTGCAATGTGATAGACTATTAGACCAACCCAGAATTCTAAGCTTAAAGCTTACTCTTAGAGTCAGCCTTATTTGAGGACCTCCTTGAATTCTTCTTCACAAGAGATCTATAAGAGGCATTTGAGCTTTTCCCAGCAGATTTCTTTGTGCTTGATCTTTTCCGAGTCATCATTGGAGTGGAGATTTGCTTACTACTAGCATTATGAGATGCTCTCTTCTTTATCAGAGCTGGGTTAGGAGACAAGGAGGATCTTTTCTTGTTTAAAGGAACCTCAGATTGAATGGATACCTTTTTTCTTAAGTAAGCTAGTCCTTTTTCAGGTGTCTTCCTTTTCCTTTCTGGAGTTTTTCTCCTAGGAGAAGCTTTATTAGCTGTTGGAGTTCTTTTCCTACCTGAAGTTTTTGAGGGTGCTGGTGCCTTCTTTTTGGCGGGAGGTTTACTTTTACAAAGAGTCTTCTTTTTAGAGGGAGTTTTCTTTGAAGCTGGCTTTTTCCTGGATGATCTTCTTCCTTTGGAAGGACTTTTAGACTCTTCATTTTTACTCTCACTTAGCTTCTTAATAATATCAGCAGCCCCAGTAAGCTTCTTGCCTTTCAGAATTCTCTTCTTCTTAAGCGCTCTTCCAGTAGATTTTACTAAGGTTTTCTTCTTCTCAAAATCTTTAGGATTTGCTAATACAAAAGAGTTTTTAATTTGAAGAAGGAGTTCGTCCTTCACCATTTTCTTTATCATAGCTTTTATCCTCTTCTCAAGGACCTCTTCTCTATTATGGGCTTGGATATATTTGATAATATCTATGGCTAATGAGCCTTCCTTCTCATTCATAGCAAGGAGGGACTCTCCCACTAACTCTTTGTACTTAGGTCTTTTAGACATCTTTCCGAGGTAATCTTTTTGTAATAATTTTTATTCTTAAAACTCAAATTATAGCCAATAAATAGGGGTTTTGGGGTTTTGGGGTTTTGGGGTTTTGGGG